CCTAGGCCTCCGCTAGTGGGGTGAGAGCCTCTGCCTCCGCCTCTGCTTCCAGCGCCTCCAGACTTTAGGGGGACCCATTTGTTGTGCCTGCCTCTCGAGGTGCTGGCTGCGCGTCGCGGTGGCGCCTGCTGCCTGTGGCCATAGTGGCTGCCTGTCTCGGTAATGGGTGGCCTGTAGCGATAGCGGGGTGCCTGAGGCAATGGTGGGGTACATGTCATAATAATGGTGTACCTGTTGCGATCATGGGTTGCCTGTCCCAACAGTGCCTGCCCGTCGCGATATGGGTGCCTCTTGTGATAGTGGCTGGCATGTCGTGGTAGTGGGGTGCCTGTCGCAAGAGTGGGGTGCTTGTCCCGAGAGTGGGTGCCTGTCCTAATAGTGTCCGACTGTCCTGACTGTCGCAACGTTGGCTGCCTCGGCCGACAGTGCCTGCCTCTTGCAGTAGTGCCTGGTCAGGGAGCTGCCCGTCAGGACAGACGCTGCCTCTGGAGATAGCAGCTGCCACTTGCGACAGTGCCCAGCTATTTCTAGCACGTTCAGTTTCTTTGTCTAGATGTATCTTTTTAACTGGAATAATGTAGACTATGTGAAATGTTGACCACGATTAAACTAATTAACACAGCCATCGACTGAGTTACATTTTTTGTGTGATGACAACACTTGAGATCTATCTACTTGGCAAACTTCAAAAACAGGATGTGTCATTATCAACCAAAGTTACCATTTTGTACATTAGGTCTCCAGAACTTATTTATCTTATAATTGAAAGTTTGTGCCTTTTGATCAGCCCCCCAGCCCTCAGCCTCTGGCAACCAATATTCTACTCTGTTACAGCGTCTTCAACTTTCTTCTTTAGATTCTACATGCAGGTGGAATCATACAGTATTTGTCTTTCCATGTTTGACTTATTTCACTTAAAACACAATGTCCTCCAGGTTCATTCACGTTGTTGCAAATGACAGGATTTCCTTCTTTTTAAAGGCTGAGTAATATTCCATTATATATGCATACATATACACACAGGTGATTCTTGAGTAACATGAGTTTGAACTGTGTAGGTCCACTTAAGTATTTTCCCCCCCAACAAATTCCTGTATTATTTTTGACCTGCCGTTGGGAGTCCTCGGATATGGAAGGCCAACTGTGTGCATTGATCTAGGCCATTTTACATAGGAAACCTGAGCATCCANTCATGTTCTTGAGTAACATGAGTTTGAACTGTGTAGGTCCACTTAAGTATTTTCCCCCCCAACAAATTCCTGTATTATTTTTGACCTGCCGTTGGGAGTCCTCGGATATGGAAGGCCAACTGTGTGCATTGATCTAGGCCATTTTACATAGGAAACCTGAGCATCCATTGATTTTGGTATCTGCAGGGGATCTTGGAACCAATTCCCCATGGATACAGAGGGACAACTCAAGTTTTTTGGGAGTCAAAAGTTATATGTGGATATTTGACTGTGAAGGGAGGGAGGTCAGCGTCCCTAAACCCTGCATTGTTCAAGGGCCAACTGAGCTATACAAGCTCATATCTTTTTTATTCAGCTGTGGGTGGACACTTAGGTTGTTTTCATCTTTTTTTTTTTTTTTTTAATATATCTTTATTGATTTCAGAGAGAGGAAGGGAGAGGGAGAGACAGAAACATCAATGATGAGAGAGTCATTGATCGGCTGCCTCCTGCACGCTCCCAACTGGGGATCGAGCCTGCAACCCCGGCATGTGCCCTGACCAGGAATGGAACCGAGTCCTCCTGGATCCTGGGTCGATTCTCGTCTGCTGAGCCACGCCCGGCCGGGCTATTTTCATCTTTTGACTGGTGTGAATAAGGGTACAATAAACACGGGGTGCAGATATCTCTGAGACAGTGATTCCCCCCCCCCCCTTTGGACCAAAGAGTGTGATTGCTGGATAATATGGTAGTTTTATTTTTAATTTTTGTGGGAATCTCCACACTGTTTTCCATAGTGGCTGTACCAACTTATATTCCCATTAACAGTGCACGAGCATTCCCTCTTCTCCAGTCCTGCCAGCACTTGCTACCTTTTGACTTTTTGATAATAGCAGCCCTACCTGGTTTGAGGTGATACCTCATTGTGGTTTTGATTTGCATTTCCCTGATGATGAGTGATGCTGAGCATCTTTTCATATGCCTGTTCTAGACTCAACCGTTTGTCGTGAAAATAGATGACGGGTAGAGAGAGAAGTTAATTAACCGCACAAATGGAGGAGAGAGGCATGGTCCTGTAAAACATTGGAGCCCAAGTTAATGAAGGGAGTGCTGCAATGGCTTTTTGGGACTGCATGCAATGTAATTTCTGTCTGCCAAGGGTGTTCGATGAGATAAGGGTCTGAAGGTCTGCGCTGGTTCTTACTAATTGCTATTCCTGCTAAATGTTAAAATGTAGAACAGTATTTTGCAGACACAGCTGTAACCAGGTGAGGTTGACAGGAGCCCAAAGGGATAGGTTTAGCCAACCGCCAAGAAGAAGTCAACACGTAATTAACCAAATAGTGTATATAAACAGTGGCTAAGCATCCCTTTGGGGAGACAAGGCTTTGATGGGAATTCTTTCTCCTTTACTTGCTGCGAGTAAATAAAACTACCTAAGTACAACTATATCTCATTCATTTTTTAAATTTTTTAAAAATATATCTTTATTGATTTCAGAGAGAAGAAAGGAGAGGGAGAGAGAGAGACAGAAACACCAATGATGAGAGAGTCATCGATCAAGCCCACAACCCGGCATGTGCCCTGACCGGGAATCGAACCCTGGTCGCCTGGATCCCAGGTCGACGCTCAACCGCTGAGGCACGCCCGGCCAGGCTCTCATTCATTTTTAAAAAATGTTTTTATTGATTTTAGAGAGAGAGGAAGGGAGAGATAGAAACATCCATCAGGTGCCTCCTGCACGGCCCCCACTGGGGATGGAACCTAGAACTGGGGCATGTGCCCTCACCGGGAATTGAACCTGCGACCTCTTGGTGCACTGGTCTATGCTCAACCACTGAGCCACACCAGCTGGGCCCATATCTCATTGCTGAATAGAACCCCTTGAGTTCAGTAACAAGGGCATGCCCTAAGGTCAAGGCAAGCACTCTGGGAGCACTGCCTAGGAGGGGCAACCGCTCCACCATGACAGGCCTTGGAGACCCAGAGGAGCCCAGGGTCTTCCCAGCTGACTCCCATTCACTGTCAGACGCAGGCTCCACTGTCACCCCAGCGCCGGGGATGCGCTCCTTTTCCCCAGGCCACCCACGCTGCTGGGCGCCTGGGGATGAATTAGCAAGGCCCTGACTTTATCCCTGAGCCCGGCCTAACCGAGTCTGGCAGACCTGCCACGCATCCTGGCTCCCCCGCGCGCCCTGGCTCCCCACGCATCCTGGCTCCCCCGCGCGGCGGCTCATCCGTGATGGAAGTAGATTCTTTAGTCTTAAAGTTGGGGCCAAGGACTTCACGACAGTGGACGGAAAGCGCAGGTCCGCGCGCGGGGAAGGTACCAGGGACCCGCCGAGGACGGTGTCACCGCCCCAGCCGAGCGGCACGGGGAGGGTTGAGCGCCGGGCTTCCAGCCGGAGACTCCCGGGCGGCCCCTAGCGGCGAGGTGGGGGAGCGCGCTCAGGCGAGGCCCCGCCCCCAGCGGTGCGCGGGCTCCGCCTCCCGCACGCCAGGGCTCACCGCCTCCGCCCAGCCCCTCCCCGCTGAGTCCTTTCNCCGGAGCCCGGATGCGAGCCAAGTGCGCACGCGCAAGAGCCGGCCGCCCCAGCTCGGCGCCGAGCCCTTCCCTCCCTGGACCCGTCGCGGTGGGAGCCCGGATGGGAGCCAGGTGCGCGTGCGCATCGGCCGGGAGCTGCCGCCATTGGCCGCCGGCGCGGAGCGTCTCGATGACGCGAGGGGAAGACACCGGAAGTGGGCCCTACGGCGGCCGCGGTGGGCCGGAAGCGTCCGGTTTCGGCGCCGCCGGGCGGCAGGG